GGCCCCCCCCCCCCCCCCCTCCCACCCCACATAATGAACCGCACCCTTGTGTTTAGGCATTCAGGGGAATAAGAGTGTGCGTGGTCGGTGATTGGCTGATTGGCCGCTGCTCATCTTCCTCTGTTGGTTGGTGATGCTGAGTGATGCTGTGGGCGTTTGTCTGTCTGTCTGTCTGTCTGTCGGTCCATCGAATCGATCGCCTTTCCTCATGACGCAGATTGCGTCGGGCACTTGCCCTGACTGAGGCACCGATAGAGGATGGGCAGCGACTCCAGCGAACAGCAACGCACGCGCCAAGAACCGCCATAACGAGTCGATATCATCTGCATGTACCATGACCCCATACATACAAGCAAACAGGCATGATCCAAGAGCCGCTCGTGGATGGGATGAATCGGTGGCATGGCATGCGTCTGTGGCGTATGTGGCGTACAATTTCGAGTTTCTTGTGTTCCCTGATTCTGCACGCGACAATGTCGTCTCTGTTGAAGGCCTCGCGGGGTCCGCGCTCGTCGCTCTTGGGAGACGGGAACGACACAAGCCGACCGGTCGCCTGTGCCACCACACACACACACACACACACACACACACGGACACGACACAGTGAGCATGACATGACCCCCGTGACAGTACAGCACAGTACCCACCCCTTGTCCTTCTGTGCGTATGTGTGTATGTACCTGTCTCTGCAGACATTTGGTGAGTCCCCTTTGCAGTATCGTCACCGGGTGCGGGCTGAACATCATGACCTCCGAACTAGACACCACCAGCGTCCGCTTCACCCACCTGAGGTGCCACTTCTGGAGCCACACCTCCGCACGGTACTCGCACAGCATCTGCTCCGACCCCTCACTGCTCCCCCAACACATGGGGCTGCCCGGGATGTGGATGGACGGGGACGCGGGCGACTCGTCGGCAAGGGTGGACACGCTCCCGATGGACCCCCGTGGGCGTGTGGGGTCTTCCAGTAGACCTGGTAGCTTGGGCGTCCCCGGGCACTGGCCGATGCTGCCGAGGGATGCGCTGACCTCACGGGGCAGCGGGTTGACGTCGAGCATACTGGCGAGGGAGGCGTTGACAGTCGGGGAGGGCTCGCTGCTGAGGTCGTCACTGTCATTGAGGATGGCCGGCAGCGATATAAGTGGGCAGTGAGTGTCGGCCATGTCGCTGCAGGGCTGGCGGAACCGGGTTGGAGTTGTTGGGACACACTCACCAGGAGGGTGGATTGGTATTCAATGAACGACCTGGTGGAGGGAGACTTGGTGGTGGTCTGGCGCAGGCTGCTGCTGGATCTGGGATTGAGGGAGGGACGGACGAACCTGAACCAACACTGCTCGTTGGCGTGTTGACTGAGGAGCCGACTCACAGGAGACGAAGACCCGCTTAAAACTGTCTCGTCTTCGAACCGAGAGGAGGAGAGATAGCTATCTTTTACGGTCAATGTCTGCTCTACCGCCATCATGAGTATGACCGACCTGTATGACAAATTGCTTTGTACGAGTCCATAAACATGACTCAGAGGCATTGCTATATCCCCGAATGACCTCTGAAGGCGCCAAAACAATAGAGCAGAGGAGCGCCACGAGTGATGCTCACGCAGATGTGACATTCTTCTCAAGCTGGGTGGGTGGGTGAGAATGGAATGGAGAGAGAAAGAGGTGCAGGCAGGATGCCAGCAGGGAGCCACGCAGGCTGGGAGTAGGATAGATAGTCTTCACGGAGGCGTTGAGTGAATGAGTTGTGTGCACGCTGCTCTCTCTTCTCTCTCTCCTCACTGAGCGTTCCGCTGTGTGTGTGTTGGTGTGTGCAGTTCTGCCCTTACGCCCAGCGGGCCTGGATAGCACTCGAAGAGAAAGGCGTCGCTTATAAGTGTACCTAAGGGGATGACTGAGAGAGGCTATGATGAGCGACGCCTCTCTCTCTCCCCCCGTTTGTCTGACGTGTGTGTGCAGATGTGGAGATCAATCCCTATGAGATTGGTGCTGATGGCGACACCAAGAGGGCCCTCTCCCTCGAGGTGTGCAAAAGACAGATGCATGGATGCATGGATGAATGATGAATGGGAAAGCTGGTCATCGCACAGCAAAAGCGGGAACGCTACCCCGAGTTTGTGCGGTGCTCTCCGCGCGGCCTGGTGCCGGCTCTCAACCACGGCAAGCCCGTATGGGAATCATTGGTCGGTCGGTCGATCAAAGGGAGCGGACGGACACCTATCTACCACACGTGCACTCGGCCCTTTTCTGTGTGTGTACTGTGTTGTGTTGTGTTGTGTGTATGCAGGTGGCGGCCGAGTACATTGACGAGGCGTTCGATGGTCCACCTTTGATGCCTAGTCATCCGCACGAGAGGGCACTGGTGCGGATATGGATGGCCCACTGCAACGATCGGGTCATCCCACACTACTACAAGGCCCTGATGGCCGAGACGGAGGAGGGGCGCCAGGCGGCCAGAGACAACTTCATCAACGGTGCGTGCGGTGCGAGGGAGGGAGGGAGCCAAGACAGGCGAGTCCATCGCCGATGCGCATGATGCATGTAGATCGCGTTGATTGCTGTCGGCATGGTCAGGTCTCTATGAGCTGGGCTCTTTCATGCACTCCCTCTCCCCCTCTGGCGGGTGTTTCCTGGGCGGCGACCGCTTCTCACTTATGGACATCGCTCTCGCGCCCTGGTGGCAGCGGGCAGCTGTGGTGCTCAGGCACTACCGAGGATTCAAGGTGAGAAGATGGAGTGGGCTCATGTAGGCGGCCCTTTTGTGATGGCTGCATTTGTGCGCATCAATCAGTTCCCGGAGGATGGTCCGGTGTGGCAGCGGCTGCACAGCTGGTTCGATGCCGTGGCCGGACGACCGTCATACCAACGGTATGTATGTCGAAGAGCAGAGCCGCTTGGGTGCAGGACGGAGGAGCCAGCTGGATTGTCTGTTTGGTTGCGTTGCCGTGTTGTGTTGTGTTGTGTTGTGTTGTCAGGACGGTGGTGAGTCCAGAGGAGCTGATCAGGAACTATGCCGGGTGAGTGAGTGCATGGCATGTTGGTTGCTCCCTGCCTACCCTCGTGTGCTTAACCGTGTGATGCAACGCAGGTATGCTGACAACTCAGCTACATCCGATGCAGCCAAGAAGTTCCGCGACAGCTGACTTAGCCGATGCAACGACCCGTAGTTGTCTATCCAGTGTCGTGTTCGAGTGGTTTGTCGTGCCTCTCTCTTCTTGTAGGTAGAGATGTGCAGTTGGTTAGTGTGTCAGTGTAGGTCAGAGAGCATGGTTGTGTTGCACACTCACCTCACGCACAGCACCCGTGCGCTACGCAAGACCGTGCTTCATGTCATGTGACATGTACAGTCTCAAGAAGATGAGTATGATGTCTGTCGAGACAGACCATCAATCACCCAACCAACACATACCGCGTGCAGTGATCGATGAGTCAGTCAGTCCACCCACACACCACACCCAGCAAGCGTCGCTCGCATCGCACTAGCCAACAGAGAATAGAATGACGTTCCTCCGGACACAACACACTCGAGCACACCACTTCTGCTCCTCTGCTCGAAACTCGAAAAAGCTCGACAGCTAGGCTACGTCTGTGTGATCGCGCGAGCCGTCCGTCTGAGTGTGTTGTGTCTATGCGGGTGCAGGTGATGACCCCGTGTCGGCGGCGGCCTGCCGCTGCTTCCAGATGAGCCAGAAGGGCCGCTTGATGCGGTCCCAGATGTTGCTGAGGCTGTCGGGGGCGGGCCGGGTGTCTATCGTCACCTGACAGACAGATCCACACACACAACACAACCACAACAAGGCAGGAGGGGAGGGAGGAGTGAGCGTGGGTGTTGTGCTGTGTTGTGTTGGTTGGCTGACGGGCGTGTGTTGTGTGCTCACATACACACACCTATAGGTACCTGTATGTCGTCATCGAGCGTTTGGTCATCGTAGTAGTCGATGATGTACCGCACTTGCTCACCGCAGCTGTGCAGTGCACACACGCACATCACATCCGCGCACACAGGCACATACATTCCTACACACACGACTTTTCAAGCTCTCTGCCTGCCTGTCTGTCCTGGTTGTGTGTGTGTTACCTACCGATCGACAAACCAGTCGTGCCGGTCAAATGGCCGACCGAGGCTGCATTATAACACGTATCAAATGCAAACACACAGAGGATTCTCTCCCCAGTGGCCCCCTCCCCTCCTCCCTCCCTCCCTCCCTCCCTCAGGTACTTACTGTGTGAAGAGGGAGTTGTATCTTGCCCGCAGACTGAGGTCGTCCGACTTGCCCACGAAACGTGTCAACGTAGGATTGGGGCACTCCCTGCACACAGCCACACAGACAGACAGACAGGCAGACAGACGGACACACAGGTATTTGTAATCAATCTACTTGACCCACTCACTTATTTCTCCTGCCTGGTCTGTCCTGTGGTGGTCTGTCTCACTTGTTGTGCATTTCCTCCCACTTCATGATGCCCTTCCACGTCTGCTCGTTGACCCAGTTGTGCACGTAGACGGTGGCGTCCATGTGGTCCGCCTCGGGGTCCTTGTCCTTCCGCAGCAACGCGTTGTAGAACTGCTGGGGGGACGGATACACCCACACTGAAGCAAGGAGAGGCCCACACACACACACACACACACACACACAGACACAGACACACACGCACATACACACAAGCAGTTGATGGCCTGCGTGTGTCCTTGAGATGGATTCCCTGCCTCGTGGTCTCTCACTCACCCTCGTCTGATCCCGTCTTGGGAATGGTCGAGTGCTCCCTGGAGGTGCTGAGCAGCACATCACTGTCAGCCGATGTCGGCTTGTTGGGGATCACAGGCATCATGTTGCGGGGGTCGATCTGCTCGAAACCCTGCTGCTGTTTCTCCCTGGCCCCCTGCCGCTGTATCTGCTGCGCCTGGTGCTCCAGCCGAGCCATCAGACCCTCCCAGCCCCTCAGGGGCGCTGATTCGGGGCTGACAGAGGGAGAGGGAGAGGGACTGCTTTGTGACATCTGGGTGTGGTCGATAGGACAGCCCGCGGCCTTGGCTTGTGCGAGTTTGGTGTGGTCGATGGGGCAGCCTGATGGCTGCTGTGCCGGTGGCGCAGGGGAGGCCTGTGAGGCCTGCATCTTGGAGTGATCAATCGGGCAGCCAGATGGGGGAGAGCTCGATGCCGGAGGCATCTTGGAATGGTCGATGGGGCAGCCACGCAGCTGATTCGAATCGTCTGATACCATCTTCGCCGCTTCGTCTTCTTTTGCGAGCTTGAGCTTGAGCTTGTAATGGCTCGGCGATCGTGAGCCGAAACCGTGTGATTTCGCCGTAGCTGCATCCCAGTGGAGAGAGAGTGAAGCGTGCTATCGATATCTGTTGTGTGAAGAAGAAAGAAGAGTCTGTCCGAGGAGATGAGTTCCCCGCAGCACCGCAACGAGCCGCCGACAGGTGAGATGAGAAGTTGACAGATGAGGCCAACACCAGCCAGCAGTGCACCCATGACGCACCAGCCACTGATCAGCCGAGGCTGAGCTTCGTAGATCAGATCATGAGCTTAGTTCGGCGAGGCACACAAGCAGGCAGGCAGACAGACAGTTGCTCCATGGCTGGATGGCTGAGTGCGTGTTGGCGTGCTGAACTGCTGCATCGGGATGTCTCGCAAATCGCTTGTCGTTTTGCCGTGTTTGTGTTTGTGTTGTGTTGTGTGTGTCCTGTCTGTCAGAGGTGCAAGAGCTCCTCAACTTCATCAGGTGAGGAAGGAAGGACACCGACCGCAGTGAGGTCACTGCCTTCACACGGCTGTCTATGTGTATGTGGGTGTGTGCTTCATTCAGTCAAACAGCAGGTGTGTCGGCTCAGAATGGCCCTGGCGCTGCTGTCCCTCCTCCTGCTGAACCACCACCGCCTCCTACAGGCCAAGGTGAGGGACATGGATATGGCCACTGTGCAAGCAGCAAATCGGCACCAACGGCACTCGCGTGTGTGTGTGATGCGATCGATGTCTGCACGTGTCTGTCTGTCCCTCAGTGAATGGCATGGATGGGTCTGGGAGTGCAGCCGCTGCCGCATCCGCTGCTGCTGACGCTGGTGGAGGCACTGCTGAGGAGGAAGAGGGTAGGCATCGCATCCCACGCAACGCAGCACGGGGCAGCACAGCAGCACCTGGTCCACCCACGATCTCTGTCCGTCCCTCTGTCTGTCGTATGTCTGTCGTCTTCAGCGGCACCTGCGCCCAGACACCAGAAGCTCATCGAAATCGGGTGAGCGAGCATCGCATCCACACACGCGCACACACGACACGAACATGGCATGTGTGTGTATGTGTGTGTGTGTGTGGTGTGTGTGTGTGTTCCTTCAGGGCTACCGTTGAGGTGCAGCAGGTGGACCCCAACGACCCCCTCAACGCCGCACAGAGCTGGGAAGACCTCAACCTGTACGCACGCAATAACTCACTCACAGGCACACAACCATATGCCATAGCTGGACTGGACAGACAGACAGACTGCCGGAGATTATATTTGCGTGTGCGTGCGTGTGCGGGTGCCGACCCGACTCTGTGTGTGTCTGCTTAGTCCTGATCCCATTATGAAGGGCATCTACGCCAAGGGCTTCGCGCACCCCAGCAGAATTCAGGTACGTACCTACACACCCACCGATTCGCCTCGTTCCGCGCGCCACAGTCACAGATAGATGTCCTCTTGTCGGTCGGTGCTCATCGTTCGTTGTCTGTGTGCAGGGGAGCGCCCTCCCTCTGCTCATTCAGCGCAGGTGAGACAGACGACCAGCACAACAGCAAGCACCCACCCACATAAGACAGACACTGTCGACCCGACCCATCGCGTGTGTCTGTGTGGTCTGTGTGCAGGCAGAACTGCATCGCGCAGGCGCAGAACGGTTCGGGCAAGACGGCCACGTTTGCGCTGGCGATGCTGAGCCTGGTCAACCCCACACAGAGGGTGCCCCAGGCGCTCTGCCTCGGACCCACACGAGAACTCGCCAAACAAAATGCCGCTGTCGTCGAGGAACTCGGTGAGTGACCACAGGCCCCCGTGGGTATGTCGGCATACTGCATGTCTGTGTCTGCGGATGTCAGGCAAGTTCACGGGCGTGAGGGTGAACCTGATCGTGCCGCAGGCCAATCGTGAGCAAATGAGAGAGAGGAGAGGGGATGGATGCATGGATGGATGGAGGGTATCTATCGGGAATGCGCTGTTATGCCTCTCTCTGTGTGTGATGTTCTGATGTTATTGTTATGCCTTGTTTGTTGTGTCAGTGTCGGTGCTCGATGGCCAGATCATCGTGGGCACGCCGGGCAAGGTCAGCACATATAAAGAAGGGAGGGAGCCACACACACCGACGACACATAGACATCATTCACGTCCCTCGTCCCCCGCCTCTGTCCATCAGGTTCAGGAGCAGCTGCGCAAGAGGCGACTCAGACACGATGTGTGTGACCATGGCTGAGGGAGGATACTGCGCCCGTCCACACATCCAAATGTCGTGTGTGTGTGTGTGCGTGTGTTACAGAACATCCGCATCTTCGTTTTGGACGAGGCCGACGTCATGATTGACAAGAACAACAATATGGGGCCACAAGTGCACGACATCAGACGGTACGCACGGACACACCACACACCACGCCGTGCCTCGCCATTTTTCTCACTCCATCGCCCTCCGTCCCGTCTGTGTTGTGTGAGCAGGTTTCTGAAGAACCCCAACTTCCCTCTGCAGACGCTGCTGTTCTCCGCGACGTTTGACGATGACGTCAAGAACTTCGCCATGCAGCTGGTCCCTAACGCCAATATCATCACAGTCAGGAAGGAGGACCTCACTCTCAAGAACGTCAACCAGGTGTGTGTGTTGTGTGTTGTGTGTTGGAGGTGGGTGGAGAGAGAGGTCAACCAACACGTGACGGACGGTGTGTGGTGTGTGTGGTCACTCAGTTTTACATGGACTGCACGGACGACAATGACAAGAAGTTGATGCTGCTGGAGCTCTACTCGGTCCTCAACATCGGACAGTCCATCATATTCGTCAACAGCAAGTAACTACAGGCAGCACACCCAGAATGCCATGCCATGGATTGATGGGCCCTGTAAATCGTGGGTCTATGTGTGTAATCCCGCAGGCAGAAGGCCTTCGAGCTGGCGTCTCACATGAAGGAATATGGGTCAGCCTGCACTGCACTGCACACACAATCGGCATGCACTCACACATCAATCACATCACATCACACACACCCCTCCCTCCCTGTGTCTGTCTGTTGTGGCTATGTATGGTTGATGCAGTCACGCTGTGTCTCTGATCACGGGCACCCAGAAGCAGTCTGGCGACTTCCAGATGGACGTGCAGGAGAGAGACCGCGTCATGGAGGAGTTCAGATCAGCAAAGACCAAAGTGCTCGTCTCCACTGACGTCCTCGCCAGAGGCATCGACGTCCCACAGGTGCCTACCTGCCTACCTGCCTGCCTGCCTGCCTGCCTGCCTGCCGCCCTCCTGTTGTCCGCGCATTCGTCGATCAACGAATGCGATGTATGTGCACCCACTGTGCGTCATCCATCTGTCAGGTGACCATGGTTGTGAATTTCGACATTCCGCTGGACCGTCGCCAGTCGGCGGGGTGGTCGGGGCAGTACCAGGGCGGCGAGGGGCTGGTGGAATTCGTAAGCACACATCGACAGACAAACGATAATGAATGAGAGTTGCCAGGGGAGGGAGCCTGCCTGTTCATCTCCCTGTGTGTGTGTGTGTGTGTGGTGCGGGTGGGTGGTTTGTTGCGTATTTATTGTGTGCAGGCGACGTATCTGCATCGCATTGGCCGGACGGGTCGTTTTGGTCTCAAGGGGATCGCCATCAACCTCATCACGCCCGAGACCATGCCGCTCATGGAACAGATTCGCACCTACTACGCGTAAGACGGACACACCGCACCGCTGATGGATGGATGGATGGAACACACACGCACGCGGGCGGCGCGTCGTGGTGATCGGTGCGTGTGTGTGTGTGTGTGTGTGTGTGTCAGGTGTGAGGTGCACAAGCTGGAGCGTGACATCGAGTTGATCGAGCAGAAGGTCAGAAGCCTCAGAGACGACCTCAGAAAGACCTAACCGACAGCGGGGAGTGGCGTACGTGGTGGGGCAGTGGGTGGGCGCCATGTCTGAAGCTGGGACGAGATGGCTGGAGAGAGAAGAGATCTGAGGGGGGTAGTGCGGTGCGCGGCGTGCGTGTGGAGTTGTAAAGGTCCGGTATGTCCATTGCAATGCATACACACCTGCATGACAGACACGACACACATGGGTGGGTGGGATGCGTGACTGACTGACTGACTGACGTACTTACTGCTACAGATCTTGATTGGATGGGTACATGGTCTCTGCTTTACTCTATGAATTGCGAGAGAGAGGACAAATGGGGATGGGGGCGGCAGAAAAGCTCGCACTCAGCCTGGGAATTTCGAGGATTAACATGAACAGACAGAACGGTGTCAAAGCTCCTCCTCGGGACAGCGCCATGATCCCTCTTCGAACTTCGCTCCCTCACCGCAGGACGCTCACCGGCGGCGCGCCCGGTCTGTTTGATCCCCCCGGCGTCCTTGCCACCTCGGCCACTCTGCGGTCGTTCGAGAAGCATGTGTCTATGTCACGGCTGCCGACTGCGAGGCAAACTGCTGCCTTCGTCCCCCATCTGCATCTCAACAGGGGCGTGCCCGTCAAATCTTCGTCGGTACTTACGGGAAGGCGAGGCGCAGCGGGAGGGAGGAGACGGCGCGCACTCTCCCCGCTGTGTGTGTGTGCATGTTGACTGCAGAACTTGTTGCGGGATATCTCTCCCCGAAACCACGTATCGCAAATCATGAGGGAGAAAGGGGGAAACCTGTTCGCCTCGGGGCTTCGCATCTATGAGCGGCTCGGCCCTGCCAACCCCGAGGATGACGAGGTCGACACGAATCGGGGCAATGACCACCACATGGCTACAGGTCCGACACACATATGGAACCACGATAAGGCGGCCAAAGAACGCAAGAGGAAGGCAACACACCAGGTAGGTCAGAAAGGGCCTTGTATGCGCATACCTGTCTGTCTCCGTGTGAGTCGTGTCGTCTCGTGCTTCCTCTACCTACGGCTGCGCCGGAAACATGCAGGACATCTTCCCCAACGAGCGCAGCCGATTGACCCAGAGGCAAACGGACGATTTGGTCAACCGCCTTTATTACCTGCGCATCTCCAAAAAGCAGAAGACGCAACACCAGGTAAGAAATCACCTGCGTCGGCTTCGGGCGGTCTGAGTGTCCTGTGTCTGTGTCTCTGTGTCTCTGTGTCTCTGTGTCTCTGTGTCTCTGTGTCTGTGTCTGTGTGTGAAGATTGCTGCTGCTGCGCCGGATGCTCATCGGCGTGTGGCTGAGAAGGCCCGTGTTCGTGAGCCTCGTGAGCCGGATGTGTGTGAAGTTGATATGGGGCCGACGGGAGCTGTTGTCGAGGATGTGGATGGGGAGGGCGTCGAGCCCGCCGAGGAGGGTGAGGTGCTGCAGGCGCGCAAGAACATCGCACGGACGTATGTCAACCACTGCATCAAACGTAAGCGTGCATCGAACAACAGGTGGTTACGGTACACCTCTTTGATCAAATGGATGGCATGCATGGCATTGATCGGGAACGTGCCTGTAGACCACGGAGGGCTGACGTTGAAGCCGAAGGAGGGCAGCCTGATGCCCAACCGCTTCTAAACCGCCAAAGACAAACCGAGAGTATCCTGTGCATGTGACGGGTGGGTCTTCATCCGTACGCACGGCAAGGGAATGATCAATGACTCCGTGATCGAGGATCGCACTCGATGTGCTCCTGAGACATGAATGAATGATGTTGTGGCACGACACGACATTAGTTGGTGAACCTCTCTTTGTAAGTACCGCAGTGTGTGTCGAGGCAGGGGCCGAAGAGCCGAACCGAGGCCGGCTGTACACGCATGCATTCCATCGACCATGGTGTGCGGAACCATCCGTCCATCCATCCCTCCATCCATCCTAGGCCTCTCACATATGTATACAGACACATAGATACATGTCTCATATGAACGCCTCTCCCCTCCCCTCCCCTCCCGTATGACAATTATACAACAACGCGTAGCCGATCTCGCGATAGATAGACAGAGCGACCTACGAAAGGCAAGCTAGGGCGGCCTGCAGAGAGAGATGAAGAGGGATATTTGCTCCGTTGATGTGGCACGACAGACGCACGTGAATATGTGTGTGTCGACACAAAAACCGTGATGTGTCAAGGCGACTTGGGACGCTTTACACAAGATAGATCGAGGAGGCGGGGAGACATGCATTCATTCATCTCATGTCCACACGCACATACACTGGGTCCATTGAGTCAGTACTTTGTACATACATACGTGCACTGCACCCTCATGTGGACTCTCTGCCTGATGCAGTGGTTCGTCTGCTCATGTCAGTGGTCCCCTCGTCCACACTCGTGCGCGCACTGATCTCCTTGCGCGTGGCCTGCTCGAGGGCGGCCAGGAAGTCAGCCACACCCACCACCTCACCCTACACGTATGTGCCACACACACCACAGAACACATCCATGGCCACGGATGGGTGTGGTGTGATGGGTGGGTGGGTGCAAGCAGACAATAAGACAGCACAGCACAACACAACACAACCCGCCAGAGTCTATATGTCTCCTGATTGATTTACCTGAATGATGAATGCCTGGAATGGCAGTTTGCGGAGTGCACGGCCGCTGAAGTCCTCACACAGAGATGCGATGTAGGCCAACCACCGCCCCCACCTACATGCGGTCGGTACACATGCACATATTCATCGACTTTGAGCACCATGTATGCAGGTAGGTGCCAAGTATTCAGTGTGGTCACGTGCGGTGCGTACGTCTCCGGCGAGTTGAAGTCGCGCCATTCGTTGGCTGAGCGGAAGGACTGCTGATACTGCTGCTGCTGCTGAGTGCCGTGCACATCCATCGGGGCGGCCTGCATTCATGACGGGACAGCAGGGAGGGAGGGAGGGGAAGGGGCGACGCACACACCACACACACACACACGCACAGACATTACGCACAAATGTAGGCATCATGGTGCACCCACCCACCTCGCTCTCGAGGAAGGAATGCGAGAAGCGTGGCACGCTCCTGCTGCCAACCAACACACCTTTACTCACCTAACAAAGAAACGGACTCAGCCAATACTGAGACACACGGTGTCTTGGGGGTTGGCTATGGCTGTCTGCCATCCATTATGTACCAACCAGTTCGTGCACGGCGGATCTGATGATTTCGTATCTGCAGTTGAGCGAAGGGTTGGGTACGTAGGCCTTGAAGTCAGCACGGTCGACAAACGCCAAATCTATCGCACCTGCAGGCATCAAACAAACAACCGACCAACCAGCAAACAAACAAACAGACGAACAAACATCCACCTGTATGTATGCCTGTCTGAATGTGTGTGTGTACGGCCTGGCCTGTAGGCTCCGCCCTACCGGTGATGTTGGATGTGGTGAGCACCAGGGTGTTGGTGTAGTGCTTGAGGCTGTCTATCTGAGTCAGCAACGCTGCGTCGGGTTGAGTCGGGACATGAGAAAACACATAGACAGACAGACAGACAGACAGGCGTCAAAGCGATGCTGTGTATATATGCTGTATGTATACATGGCTCTCTGTCTCTCTCCGCGGTGTGTCAGTCCGCCCTTCGTACCGTTGACCACCCGAATGGCGTCAGAGGGCTCGTTGCCGCCCGACCGACGCGCCGCCGTCAGAGACTCCACCTCGTCTATCAGCCTGGGACACAGACACAGCCACGCAGCCACACATTCATAGAAACACAGAGAGAGACCTGTGTACGGGTGGGGTATGTTGTGCTGAGCTTCTTTCTTGGCTGCTTGGCTTACACGCACACAAACGAGTCAGGGTCGGAGACGAGGCTGCGGATGCGGGTGAACAGCTTCGTCACCAGCTTGCCGCTCTCCGAGAACCATCGTGAGAAGAGGGAGTGCGAGTTGATCTCGATGAGCTGCGAGTCGCTGTACCGGTGCTGCAGACGGACAGACAGCTTCTGCACCACACACCACAAGAGACATACGGCGAAAGTGATCGAGTAGGCAATCCACACAGGAAAAATGAAGAAAGAATAGGAATCGCGCAAACCTGAGCCAGCGCCTTGCCTGAAGACCATGCACACATGCACCGCACAATGGGCAGCTCCTGATGCAACTAGCGTTTCAGGTGGCTATCTGTCTGAGTCTGCATGGCCATACATGACTTACACAGCGACGTTTTGCCGGTGCCAGGAGGCTGAACAGCATGACACAACACCAACGTGGGTAAGGCATGGCATGGCATGACGTGGGGGAGTGAAGGAGTGAGTGCTGTGCGTGTGTACCCCGTGCAGCAGCAGGACGCGGTTGAATGAGACCACCTGTGGGTCGACGCCCTTGTCGGAGAAGAGCAGGGCGGCGTTCGCGTAGCTGAGCAGATCCTGCTTCAAAATCCCCTCATACATCTACAGCACACACACACCACAGCCAATCGAAGGAACGTATCATGTCTGGCGTGTGTCATTCATGTCTTATGTACATACTCACCAGCGCCTCCCACAGCCCGAGATAGTCGCGGTGGGGCATCGTCCACTGCTGGCAGGCGGGCATGTTCGACTCGCCGGCCTCTGCACCGTCGACGGCGACCATCTCCTGGCCCACATCCGCATCGCTCAACACATACACAATCAGCTCCCAGTGACACTGCCAGCCAGAGGACACACACAAAGACGATATGCATGCCATGCCATCAGCCGCGCACGGAATGCACTCATTGCAATGAGTCCTCTCTCTTTTTGCACCCACCCACCCACCTCGAAGAGGTAGAGTTTCTGCCCCGCCTGTGGTGGGTCGGGCTGCCCGGGTGCGTCCTCGATGACAATGTGTTTGACCTTGCAACTCCTGGCCGTGGCATCCGAGATGCGCTCCACAGGCACCGTGCCGTAGCGCAGGGCCGTCATGGCACCATCCAATTGGCGGAACGCGTCGAGGAGCTGCTGAAACCAACGCATCACAGGCAACGGGCATTCGAGTACTGCGTCGGCAGGCCTGGCCATGGGTGGAACGCTCACCCTATCTTGGATCTTGGGAAGGATGTGCCCCACCTCCGAGGACACACCCACCTCAATGAGCGCACGGCGCTTCGAACCACTGCTGAGGCCTTCCATCGTGGCCAGCCGAGGGTTCCTGACGGAACCCTAAACCCTAAACCCTAAGAAGAGAAGAAGAAAAACACGAAGGAGAGGCATCCATCTCCATCGCAGTTTGTCTGTCAAGGTCACGGCGTGGTGTTGGGGCGATGGACGGGGCTGGGGTGTTCTCATCGGATGAGTGAGCGTGCCCTTTGTGCATAGGCATATGTGGATAGATTCATGGAGGCGATCTGAACAAGCGAGTGCATGGATGCCATCTGTCAATTATCTCTTCCCTCGTCTGTCAAGGTCACCCACATCAAAAGAAATCATTGCACGCCGATTTCACGCTAATTGCCATCAGCTCTTTCTTGACAAACAACAACAGCTGACGAAATGGCTGCATCTCTCAAGCAACGCGGTCACGGCACGGCGGCCGACACGTGTTAGTAAGCAGTGAGAG